GCTTAGCACTCCATACTATGGCCTGTATGCTCGGAAACCGGCAGTAGCGGCTGCGTACCTGTCTGCGACGAAGTGAAATTGAACATGAACATGAACATGCCGGCATCACGAATTGTTCTTTTCGCCAAATACAAGCCTCGCGTGAGACTACGCTTCACTCGACTCCATTGGCCCTCCACAGCACCGGAACTGAGGGACTTCCGAACGTTGCCCGCGCGGGTAGCATTCCTTTCGCTGCAAGGTTGCGCGACCATGACGACCGTGCGAGCTCCACCGATATTTTCTCGCATCGTCCCGATCGAAGCCTTTTAACTCCCCCCCATCCGCCCGCCCTCTTGTCCTTCCTCACACATCACTACCATGGCTTCTGCTCTACGACTGTCGAGCGCTTTCCGCGCCGCCGCCCCTCTGCGGACCACAGCCTTCAATGGCCTCCGCTGCTACTCCACCGGCAAGACTCAGGTATGCCACTTTTCTCTCGAGAGGCTAAGGCACGCGCTAACCAGGCCAATTGCAGTCGCTGAAGGAGACATTCGCCAACAAGCTGCCCGGCGAGATCGAGAAGATCAAGAAGCTCCGCAAGTACGTGCTGCCGGCCCCGCGCCCACCCCAGTGCACCGCTGACATCATATCCCAGGGAGCACGGCAACACTGTTGTCGGCGAGGTCACTCTCGACCAGGTCTACGGTGGTGCCCGTGGCATCAAGTCGCTCGTCTGGGAGGGATCCGTCCTCGACTCTGAGGAGGGTATCCGTTTCCGCGGCAAGACCATCCCCGAATGCCAGGAGCTCCTCCCCAAGGCCCCCGGCGGCCAGGAGCCTCTCCCCGAAGGTCTCTTCTGGCTCCTCCTTACCGGCGAGGTCCCCTCCGAGCAGCAGGTCCGCGACCTCTCCGCTGAGTGGGCTGCCCGCTCCGACGTCCCCAAGTTCGTCGAGGAGCTCATCGACCGCTGCCCCAGCGACCTCCACCCCATGGCCCAGTTCTCTCTCGCCGTTACTGCTCTCGAGCACGAGTCCAACTTCGCCAAGGCCTACGCCAAGGGCATGCACAAGTCGCAGTACTGGGAGCACACCTTTGAGGACGCCATGGACCTCATTGCGAAGCTCCCCACTCTCGCCGCCAAGATCTACCGCAACATCTACAAGGACGGCAAGGTTGCTCCCATCCAGAAGGACAAGGACTACTCCTTCAACTTGGCCAACCAGCTCGGTTTCTCCGAGAACAAGGACTTCGTTGAGCTGATGCGCCTGTACCTCACCATCCACACCGACCACGAGGGTGGAAACGTCAGCGCCCACACCACCCACTTGGTTGGTTCCGCTCTCAGCTCTCCCTACCTGTCCCTGGCTGCTGGTCTGAACGGTCTTGCTGGTCCTCTCCACGGACTGGCCAACCAGGAAGTCCTTGTCTGGCTCCAGAAGATGAAGAAGGCTATCGGCAACGACCTCAGCGACCAGGCCATCAAGGACTACCTGTGGTCCACCCTCAAGGCTGGCCAAGTCGTTCCCGGTTACGGCCACGCCGTCCTCCGCAAGACCGACCCCCGCTACGTCTCCCAGCGCGAGTTCGCCCAGAAGCACCTTCCCGACGACCCAATGTTCAAGCTCGTCAGCCAGGTCTACAAGATTGCCCCCGGTGTTCTCACCGAGCACGGCAAGACCAAGAACCCCTACCCCAACGTCGACGCCCACTCCGGTGTCCTCCTCCAGTACTACGGCCTCACTGAGCAGAACTACTACACCGTCCTCTTCGGTGTATCCCGTGCGCTCGGTGTCCTTCCCCAGCTCATCATTGACCGTGCCGTCGGTGCCCCCATCGAGAGGCCCAAGTCTTTCAGCACTGAGGCTTACGCCAAGTTGGTTGGTGCTAAGTTGTAAGCGCGTTACTGCAACGTGCTCTACGGCCAGGAGAATGTGGAGGAATTTGTTTAACATTCAGAGATACCTTGTCCTGTGTAGAATTGCAATGTAAGGATAGGGAATGGGAGCGTTACGGCGCTACATCACTACATTTTAGTGAACGAATTGCTGTATTCTCACGTCTTGATGATCAGAAATCTACGCTCCATGAAGTTCATACTATGTGTCTGTTGCGATGAAACCGTCGTGAGTGCCTTCGGGCCATTTTCAGGTGTAGGAGATGCGCCCAATCGCATCGGCGCAAAAAGCAACGAACGGTGAGATAAGTAACCGGGATATTCGGAGCGTGGGTAGCTTTCGTTGAGCGATGGGGAACCGATGCGGATCGTTGAGCTCTCCAGTGCGACCCGACGCCAATCCGACCCAACAATTCGCTGCTCGGATGGTGTACTACATAGTTGTACATGGAATCGCAAAAGCAAACATGAGCATACTTGTACTGGAGAAAGTGACTTTCGGAGAGTACTTGAAGGCAAAAGCAATGCTAGACCCCTCGCCCGGTACATGGCCGCGGATGGGAAGCAGCTGCGGGACATGGCCCTTCCGCCAAGTGGCCGATAGCCTCAGGGACAACCCCAATTATAGCGCGCCCGGACGGCGGTCAACCAGCAACACAGACCACCTCGCAAGCTTATACCGTTTTTCTATGCATCCCTTTCCTCGCTTTACTCACACACTTGATACTACTCACATTTGCGACGGAGCACCCTTTTGCCTTGGTCAGGCCGCATATCTTCGACAAGAGAATCCCAGAGAATGAGCTCCACACCTGCGACGGGCGTCCCCAGCATGGCGAGGAACGGCCCGCCATCGCTCGAGAAGAAGCCGGTCAAGTTTAGCAATCTGTTGCGTGAGTCTGCGTGCTGATGGTGAGCGGGAATGTGTGCTGACTGTAGGCGCAGTTGGTGCTGGTCTCAACATGTTTGAGTAAGTAAACATCCCACTTCTACACCAAGATAGCAATTGAAGCTGACTGAAGATGACAGAGTGACAACTCTGGGACAGGTATGCAAATTCTGACATCAAACTTCGCCGGAAGCAACTAACGACCGATGATAGCCGTTGGAGGTCGTCAAGACTACCATGGCTGCCAACAGGTCTGAAGGCTTCTCGGGAGCCATTGGTCGCATCTGGGCGCGTGGAGGTGTCCTCGGATGTCAGTATGCATTCTCCAGCTTCCAGACAACCCCACTAACAGATGTACAGTCTACCAGGGTCTCATTCCATGGGCCTGGATTGAAGCCTCCACCAAAGGAGCCGTCCTTCTCTTCGTCGCTTCCGAAGCCGAATACTACGCCAAGTCATTCGGCGCCCCCGACTTCCTCGCCGGTATCTCTGGTGGTATGACGGGTGGTCTCGCTCAAGCGTATGCCACCATGGGTTTCTGCACTTGCATGAAGACGGTCGAGATTACAAAGCACAAGGTCGCAGCCACCGGTGCGAAGCCTCCGGGTACGCTCGAGACATTCATGGGCATTTGGCGCACGGAGGGTCTCCGCGGTATCAACCGTGGTGTCAACGCCGTCGCGGTGCGCCAGGTCACCAACTGGGGATCCCGCTTCGGTCTGTCTCGTGTTGCGGAAACCGGTATTCGCAAGGTTATGGACAAGCAGCACGGCGAGAAGCTCAGCGTGATTGAGAAGATCACCGCTTCAGCTCTCGGTGGTGGTTTGAGCGCGTGGAACCAGCCTATTGAGGTTATCCGCGTGGAGCTTCAGTCCAAGACTGTTGACCCCAACCGCCCCAAGAACCTGAACGTTGCATCTGCGTTCAAGTACATCTACTCGAACAACGGTATCAAGGGTCTTTACCGTGGCGTTACTCCTAGAATCGGTCTTGGCGTTTGGCAGACGGTCTGCATGGTTGCTCTGGGCGATGTGTAAGTCTTGACGATGCCGCTCTTCAAATCTCCGCTAACGAATCTCTAGTGCCAAGGAGGCTGTTGAGAAGCTCACTGGCGACAAGGTCACCGCAAAGCATTAGACGGCGTTCGGATACTGGATCTAACGGGGTTGATGTTCTATCAATGATCTATGCAAGTGGTCCGGCATCGGCCGTGGTCTTGGGACGAGAAAGCATGACGAGAGACATATATGACTATGACGTTCATAGCGCTATAAGATTATAATACTGAACAGGCTGAAATTCTCGTGACATTGAGGCTTATTTTCAACCGCTGGTCCCATGTGAGAAATTGTGTATACTGTGAAATGTTCTCTGTGGCCGTTCCTTCCCATTGTACTTGGGCAGTGGTGAATGCTATAGCATGTGGTACAATTCCGACCATGCCCAGGTGCCTACCTAGGTAGGATGGCGCTAGCTCACGTCACAACCAACCAACCATCACAAGCTCTCTCCCGTCCACCATCCGACACAAACTTCGCATTCTGAATACCGCCTTTGGAGCAAGAATGCGGTATCTACCATGTCCTCACATACCGCCTGTATACCAACGGGTAATCATCGCGGAGAAAAACGGGTGAGTTACTTGCATCCTTAAACACGGCCTACTGGGTTGCTGGGAGCAAGACGAGAGCTTGAAGTGGCCTCAAAGCGCAACAAACAGTCACACACTTCATATTCAGAATCTGCGGACTCATCGATAATCGAATCTCCAACATTGCCGCTGACCCAGGATAGTTCGCCGATGGTGTCGCGCCTCCAGATTTGCGAGATTGGCGTTGCGACTTGACGGGCCTTTCGCATCAACATAACCTCTATTTTCTTGCCTCTGTCGATGAGCTTCATGTCTATCAACCAAGCTTTCCTGACCAGGGTTTATCTGACAAGCCTGAGCTTGTGTTGCACCCGCCAAGATCTGGTACTCGTGGGTATGGAATTGACCCGTCAAACCCTCACTCTATCTGTCGCATTTTGGTCGATTATGTCGGCAACGAAGAGATGCTTATGCTGGCCTGCGACGATGGTGACGTTGTTGTATATCGAACTCGAGAGATTCACCGAGCGTTGGAACGGCGCACCAATGTGCAGGAGCCTGCCGACGAGGACGGTGTCCATGTGTTTCTCCACTGCAATGTCGGTAGAAGTGCTTGGGGCTTGGCTGTACAGCGCAAGGCTCGCATGATCGCGATTAGTGCGGTAATGACAGCCTTTATCCCTTACACGCTCTGCTCCTCTGACCTCAACAGAACACTCATCAGATAACGATAGTCGCATTCGCGCTCGCTTCCGAGAGCGAATTGGAAGTCCCAGACCACGGTATCAACCCTGGTTTCCCACACAGCAGAAGAGAGGACAGTATCTTTACCCTTCAAGCGACAAACAATGTTCCCGCAGTATCATTCTACGGTGACTCCGGTCGCTGGCTTTTGAGCAGCTGCATTGATGGCAAGACATCGATGTGGGACTTGTACACCAAGCAGGAGGTGGCTACATTCCAGTTAGGTTGGTGCGCAAGCGCAAGCGATCTCTCGAAGCCGCCTCGTTACATATCTCACAGGTTCCTGTGCGACTGTCCGGGCGCGCAAAATGTTCTTCACGGAGCCTGGGGTACTATAGCGCTGGACACGCGATCCGCATACGAGTTACCGTTGGACGAAGACATGACTGCAAGTTCAAAATGTAGCTCGAGCGACTTCCTAGATATCTCCGACCAGAAGAAACGTTTCAAAGTTTCCGAAACCACCTCTCATCAATATCATCTCGACACAGACGACGAAGAGGACAGTACAGATGACGAAGAAATCGAAGTAGTCAGCGAAGCGAACGAGACAGACAACGATGGAGAAGATGATATTGAATCGAATCACCAGCTTCTCGGGATGACCTTTGAGGAGTTGGCTCAATCTGTAAGTGGAGTCTCTACTGTACCCTTTACGACATGATTTACAACCAATCGTCTGTCAGCTGCATTCAATTGGGACGTAGCCAAGGGGTACAGCCACGCCAACTTAGGAAAAAAACTGAACATCCTGGAGTCTACGTTGACGTTGGGCCACCTACTTTGCAAGGTTTTGGTTTGACGTAGTCTGCAGGCCTGTTCAGCTTTTTCTTTGTATCGTGTGCAGCATTACGAGGAACGATCTTCTCTTCGTTCCTATTTAAAGTTAAAGACACGTTAGGTGACTAACACACAGCGCAGTTTGGTATAAGTGAGACGCTGTTGTCTACCATTCGACCCGGAACATCGCGCAGCCTTAACAGAGCGCCGTATCGCCTGATTGATGACTTGAGGCCCATCGCAGAACCAATGGGTGGCCCATTCTTAATCTTCACCAAAGAAGACATCTTCCTCATCCAAGGTCTTTCCGCAACATCACTCAATGTACCTCCGAATCCCATCGTCGCGATAAGACGACCGCTACGTCCAGGCCGATGGATGGACTCCCTCATGTCTTGTGACCGACACTGCTTCTTCTCCCAGATACCCGAGCTGGGCATCTTCATAGTCGGTTCTCCGGCGGGTCGTGCCGGCGTCTTCAGTCTGTACTATACTAGAGACCAGAACACTGGAGAGCCACGGTATGGCTTCAAACTTGAATATCTTCTACCGTTTCGGTCAGGTAATGAGACGGAGATAACGGGAGGGCCGATCGCACGGCTGCTTGGTGTGGCTGTAGCGCCTGTACAAGGTAAGGCAATGATGAGTACTCTCGTGTGTATCACTCACAGGTATGCAGGCATGTTTGACACTTCAGAAAATATCGAAGTACCGGATCAACGGAGCTTGCTCTCGCTCCAGCCTCGCAGATGGCGTTTGATGATGTACTACATGGATCATACTGTATTGAGCTTTGAGTTGTCAAAGCGGAGGATGGGCGAGTCGCCAAGCTTGGGTGATATGGTCGTTTAGCACCTCAATCTAGGGAAATCTAGACAGGTCTGCAGCCTACATCAACATGAAACCATGCAAAGTAGGTGACCTAACGTCAATGTAGGCTCCAGGCATGTTCGGACTTTTGCTTGTTTGTGGTGCTGGTATCGATTGTTTAAGCGCATGCTACATACTTCTCCCGCTGGGTATCATCCAATGCCCTCGTGGAAGAGCCTAGTCAAAATTACAACATCTCGCTGAACTGAAGCACCCATTTCAAGATATCCAAAGTCATCAACACGCCGGCCGACTGATTTAGGAATTCTAGGCATACGCCCGCTACTCTCCCAGCCTCAAATACACTTCCAGCACCCTTCTCTTCGCCCTCACCTCCAACCTCTCCGTAGCCAAACCCTCGCTCTCCTCATCGTCATCCGTCTCATCAGCTTCGGTCTGCTCTATCATGCTCCTCAATCTCTCCGCCGTTATTCCATCAGCTGGTACACCTTTCTTGAGCAACTTCTTCACGTTCTCCTTGATGCGCGCATCATTCATACATAGATACAACGTCTCAAGACGCGCAAAGGGACGCAGGTATGGTCCAATAAGCGCGTAAGAGTCCAGACCCGAGTACGAGATGACGAGGCGTTGGATATGGGATAGACTAGTCGACGGCAGGATAGAAGACAATGTTTGCAGACAAATTGTCTCGGTGGTGTTGCACGCAGCTGTGAATCTCACACTCAACCAGATAATATCTCTGTCGAAATTGAAGTAAAACTTCTTCTCATTTTCTTCTCCACCAATCCTGCGGCCATGGAAAGAAAACAATGCAGTGAAGTTCTCCGATGTGAAATGAACGAGTTCTCCACCTTCATGTGCGATACTGAAGTTTCTGGCTTCTTGGTTGGTAGAGAAGAGTGGTGGGAGTGGGGGGATGTAGCGGAGGCGCGGGATGTGGTCGATGGTGTTGTAGGTGTGGAGTTCGAGGAAACGGGTTCGCGGGGCGGGAGCGGCGTAGGACCAGATTAGTGCGCGGATAGCGGGAGGGAGGCCGGTGAATGTTGGGGTAGTGGGAGAATTTTGGGTTGTAGTTTTGTTAGGTTTGGGGTTGATGTGGAGGTCTACAGTGTCGGTGTCGTTATACTGATCAGACTGGGTATTTGGAGGCGGTACTGGTGGACTTTTGATGTCGACGCCGCTGTCTTGTGGAGCGTCTTCGCTATCAATGGACATGGCGCACGAGCTTAGGCTGCCAAAGCTTTGACCGGGAGAGTCGGTTGTCATGATAATATCTTCGAATGGCTCTTTCTTCTTCTTAATATTCATCATAGTCCCGAAGGACCTCTTCAGCGATTCGAGCGCCATCCTTCGCGGTTAAGATTGCAAGGTCGGGTAGGTGTTGTGCTTGTGTGTTGGAGTGGTATCAGAACCGGAAGGCTGTAGGCAGCTAACGGCAGAGCTGTTTGCGTCGGGATCGCGAAGCCAAGTGAGCGTTTGTTCGAGTTGGCGAGGTAGCAAACGCATCGGTGACAACATGTGACTCCAGGACTTAGGCCGCTATCACAGGCGAGTATTGCTGGTTTCGTACCCTTCTTCACATTCACCTACGGTGCTGAGTATACTGTAAAAGTTAGCCCGAGTGTATCCGAGTCGATGTCGGTTCCTTGACTTACTCGAAAGCTGCTATCAGATCATCGCCATCGTACCTACTGACGGTTCTCGGCTGTTTCCAAGGCATTTCATTCGACTTTTTGGCGGCTAGATACTTGTTTGGTGGAGCCATTGGTGTAACGAACAGTTTCACTCCCTCGTAAAGCGACCCATGCACTTTGGCAATGAACTCGTCGAGCGCGTCTTGTGTTAGAAACGATACCCACCATATCCTTTTTCTGTCTCTTGCCAAGTTTACATCAATTGCATCGAGGGCCACAGCAAATAACCCATGATGGTGAGCGCAGAAATCCGCTAAACCGTTTGGTGTTTGCAAAGGCAGTTTACTTCCATCCCACGCGGTAATACGCGCATTTCGTTTCCCACTATATTCATCATACTTCTTGTGTGGGAGACGTGATAAGCGGCCAATGCTTGGTTTGGGTATGTCATGCAAAACCCTTCCAGAAAAGAGTGCGGAAAGAACAGCCAGAAATTTGACGGCATCGGCAGCGGCCCCATGTTTCTGATGCCTGGAGCGCCATCCAATTATTTTCAGAGCTTTCATGACTCGATCTAGACTGGGCTGACGATATTGAATGAGTAATTTGTCGGGTTCGGCGGTCATGCTCTTGTAGTAATCGCTGACAAGCTCTTGTACATCGCACCAAGAAGTGAACAATGCTGCGATGGCCGGAAACTCATCGCTGATCCATTTGAATTCCCTCGTCATGCCAAAACCAACCAGTATAAGTTCGCCTTGGATGGAGGACAAGAGCTTGTACAGTCTTGCGCCAGCAGTCTCCTTGGTCTCGTCGGTCATGGTTCCAACAGCAGGTCCGTATCGCCGTTCTTGAATGCGAATGGTAAATGCCTCGATCTCGTTCTGATTGTAGAAGTGATACATAGACGAGAAGAAGCGAAGTGGCTTCGAACTCGGTCGTAGTACCGCGACTCCAAGCTCACTCGCCTCTGAACCACGCTGGTGGACCCCTTCTATATCGAATGCTACCACCGTGGCTTTAGCAAGGCGGTCTTGGATGCTAGCAAGGCCTCGAAGTTCCGAGTTGAGCAGTGGCTGCACATCGCGGTTCTTGACGAAGCCATAAATACCCTGTCTGTTGGGCTTCATCTTGTATTGTAGACACGGGTTGTTTTCGGGCAGAGGTAATTATCGAGATTAAAGTCCAAATCCAAAAGATGGATGAGTAATGGTTGGAAACGGCTGTGTGCAGCATATAGAATAATATAGAGTAGGTTTTGTTGCGACGGTGGTACCATGGTTGGGCGTGGCTGACTGCGACCAACAGGACGACCAAAATTTCTTGTCGGGGCACATATCATTCTTCCACAATAACTTCCGACTTCCAAAAGACCCAGGCGAAGACAGCCAAGAGCTTCAGCCCACAAGCAGTCCACAAGGCGCCTGCAAGACCTACACTGCTGTGAGCGTACAATCCGCCGATGCAGGCTCCCAACAGCAGCATCGCGGGTGCAGCGATCCTCCTGTTGCGCTCCACATTCGAAATCTTAAACAGCTGAGGGTCAGAAAAGAGATCGCAGTAGTTGCTCGTAAGCACGACACTGGTCAGACCGTTGTACTTTAGGGCGCGCGACGTGACTGCCTGGCCACTGGATTGGAAAGCAACCGAAGCAAGCGGAACAAGCATCTGCCAATGCAGGCCTTCCTTAGTATCCTTGCCGACAGTAGCGATCAATGCAGCGCCAGCAATGAGTAGCGTCTGGAACATGTAGGACACAATGAGCACCCATCTCTTGGCAGGTGAGAAGTAGCGATGAAAGCGCGCAAAGCAGAACGAGCCAGCACAGAACGCGACAATGGACGTCAATGCCTTGATCCAACGTATGCCCTCAGAAGGTGCGACAATGCCCAAGCCAAGATACACGGTGTTACCTGTATGTTGAGTAAGCTTCTAGTCCGAGAGAGATGGCGCGTCTTACACACCCGTCTGCATGCTCACGAAAGAGCCCCATATGAAGACAGCCGAGCTATCCAGTAGCCCCGTAACAATGTAGCAATACAGCAAAACAAGATCTGCCCAGTTCTTCGTAACATCGGCATTCATGTGCCGTTTGAGCCGCTGCATAGTCCCCTTGCTGTCCGATTTTCCGCCGGCTGGTCCATTTCGGCCGAGAAGCGGCGTTTCCTCGTCTGCGCCGCTGCGCGTGGCGTCTCTGCGCGATACGCTGCTCATGGTTGCACGTGTGGGATGAGATCGTGTAGTCGTATATTGCGAGGGCTGCGAGGACCGGTAGTTATGTCAGTTGGGGCGGGGTGCAGATAATCGCGTCAGCAGAACCGGGAAGACGCGAGCCAGCGTGCAGATCGACAGGCACTCCGACTCAAGCTTCAGTTAAGCTTTCGACGCCCGCTGCGGCAATTGCAGGATATCTCAG